AATTTAAGGTTTTTCTGATATCCCCTCCAGAGCCAGCCACCGTCCAGAGTCCAACAGCTGTCCACTCGGCAAGAGTCGGCTTCCTAAAGGTCAGAAACCCAGACGGGGGCCCAGTTTCCGCTAGCTTGTGTTAGCCCGATTTTTTTTTTGTTGGAAGAGTGAGAATAAACCAGAGTAGATCAAGAGTACAAATATAACATTTATTGGTCACAAGCAGAGTAAACCAGACGGCTGGACGTAACCGTAACAGAGTGTTATTGGCAGAGATATATAGATGTATAAAGTACTGGAGTAGAAGTACAAGTACTATATAAAAAAAGTTGACTTGATCAAAAGTAGAAGTGTTCTTTCAACACCATACTTAAGTGTAAGTACGGAAGTACTCCATTTTGTTTACTTAATTATTGCAAGTAGAAGTATTTCAAGTATCGAAAGTACAAGTATAAGTACAAGTACTGTGTATATCAAAAAAAGGCAGTAAAAAGTGTGATAGATATTGTATATATTATTTCAAACGTGTGAAAGGCCATACAGGTGTTTACAAAAACACATCTGCATTAGCAACCAACTGCACTTCATCTACTATTATTTATTATTCCAGAGTCAGAATCCTGAGCTGAGCCTTAATATAATATACAATAATAATTCAATTGTCCTAGAGAGGGCAGAGAAGTGAGAAATGATCCACATCATAAAGAAATGTTAAATAAATTCTGTTTAATTTGAAGCGAGGTGAGAACAGGAACTCCAGACAGGAAGGAAAAGACGGTGACACATGGATGAGTTTTGCTTTCATCTTTTTACATCTGAATTTATTTATCAAACTTCAGATCAAAAACAAAAAAAGCTTTTAGATTTATCGCATTTATCAGCTTTAAAATACCTCCTCCTTGTTATTGTAGCAGCGTTTAGCTGCTTTTCTGAGAACACAAACTGCTAGTAACTCTGGCCCCTTTTGTGGAACGCTCTGATTGGCCTAGTCCCCCTGACGGAGCCGTCTGATTGGCTGTCCCTCTGCAGGTGTACTGGCGCCATGCGGCGGGCGACCTGGACCGCTACGTGGTTCTGATCCGGTTCAACCACAGCGTTCTGCAGAACCAGAGCGTCTCCGCCGGGCACAACGAGTGCGTCTTCTCCTCCCTGACGCCGGGCCGGCTCTACACCGTCACCGTGGAAACCTGGAGCGGCGGCCTGGTCAGCAGCGTCTCCACCGACGGCCGAACCCGTGAGTTGGAGCAGAGGCCCTGAGCTGGACCTGAACCGGGTCTGGGCCCGGTTCTGACCCTGTCCCCCTCCAGTTCCAGCAGGTGTAGGCCACCTGGCGCTGGGCGGAGCAGGGACGGCCCACCTGAACGTCACCTGGAGCCCCGCCCCCGGAGACGTGGACCACTACGAGGTGGGCAAACAGGGAGACCGAAGGCTGAGGGCTCATCAGTTAGAGATAGAGGCTGGTCCCAGCCGGGTTAGGCCTTTAAAAGGCCGGGTTCACTCGGTCATAACGGGGAAATGACCTCTTATATTTCTATCAACTCAGCAAAAAAAAAAAAATCCTCTTTTTTGTATTAGATTCTAGTTATTTAAGCCAGGTTTCGAAATGACTATTGGACCTTTATTGTGCGTGTGCTCAGCTCCGTGGGGCAGGACGGGTTGGAAAATTAACTTTTTACATCAAATACATGCAAAATAAACAGGGAATTAACAAAAAAAAACAAAACAACGCTTTCGTTTGAAATCCATCTTTTGGCCTTTTTTGGACTGATATTGGTCAGTTTTGGAACAGTTTTGGACCGGTTTGGGTTAGTTTAGGTGAGTTCTGGTCAGTTTTGGACCAGTGTGGGTCCGTTTTGGGCTGGATTGGGTTAGTTTGGGTCCATTTTAGACCAGTTTAGGTCCGTTTTGGGTTAGTTCTGGTCAGTTTTGGACTAGTTTTGGTCTGTTCCTGACCTATTTGGGTCAGGTTTGGACCAGTTTGGGTTGTTTCGAAAGCTGTTATTGGGATTTAGATCTATATAAAAAAAATGTAATTTTACAGAAGTGAAATCGTTTGAATTCCAGCTGTCCAGAGTCTCACTTCAGACTGACCTCTGTCCCTTCAGATCTCAGTGCTCTTCAACGACACCCAGGTGTTCCCCCCCCTGACGCTGGACAGTGGGCAGACCCACCACCAGCTCACCTCGCTGACCCCCGGCCGGCTCTACCGGATCCTGGTGTCCACCTTCAGCGGGCCCTACCAGGCCACCGAGTTCCTGGATGGACGCACAGGTAAGCCACCCCACCCCCCACCCCCCCACCCCTCTTCCAGAGTCCAGCTGCTGACCCCTGGCTCTGCTCTGTCAGTCCCCAGTGCTGTGAGGAACCTCCAGATGCTGCCTCAGATGGGTCAGACCGACTCCGTTGCCGGGCTGCTGGTCACCTGGGTGCCTGGAGACGGAGACCTGGACATGCATGTGGTCACCCTGGCGTCCACATCGGTGAGCCACACCATCTGGTTATTAGTGGATCTAAGCAGGAGACTGTGGTGAAATATGGGATGAGGGTCTTTCGGACTGGTTTGGGTTCGTTTTGGGTTGATTTGGGTTAGTTCGGGTCAGTTTTGGACCAGTTGTGATCCGGTTTAGGTCCTTTTTGGGTTAATTCGGGTCAGTTTTGGACCAGTTTTGGTCCGGTTTAGGTCGGTTTTGGGTTAGTTTGGGTCAGATTTGGACCAGTGTTTGCCCGGTTTAGGTCCATTTTGGGTTAGTTTGGGTCAGTTTTGGACCAGTTTAGGTCCATTTTGGGTTAGTTCGGGTCAGTTTTGGACGAGTTTTGGTCCGGTTTAGGTCTGTTTTGGGTTTTCAAGTTATTTAACTTTTTCTGCTTTTATTTTCTCTCATTGAAATGTATTCCTTTGCAGCCTCTCTGACTGGGATACAGCTCAATAGTAGAGGGTTTGACTCCAGGTTGAGAAGTTGCTGGTTAAAATCCCATTAAAGTCTTCAGTTCTTCTAATCCTTTTGCCTTTGTTCTCCCACTCTTCAGTTCCATGTCTTCTCCAGCTTTTCTTTGGCTTCTTCTGGTTCCTCCCTGCAGCTTTTCTTCTTCTGATCCTTTTGCCTTTCTTCTACCACTCTTCAGTTCTATGTCTTTTTCAGCTTTTCTTTAGATTCTTCCATTCAGCATTTGTCATGTAACTATTCTAGTTAGATCTGTATCTCTTTTGGTTTTGGTAAATAAATCTAGAGGACTAATCAAAGGGTTTCTGGCAGGG